GGTTCATATTTCATAGTATCAGCTTGGCTGAATAGCAGCAGGTCTATCACGATGCTTTATCAATGGCAGGAGAATAACTTGAATTCCATCTTAACACAAAGGGTGGATTCCCCACCCCATCCCTCCACTCAGCTTGCAGATCTTCCAGTTTGCCTGCAGTATGAGATGCAAAATTCACAGGAGCTTTCCATAAAATGACTTGGAGTTATGTGGAATGGTAACCAAAGTCAGACACTTGGGTGATATATTGCTTTAATTCATTCTCGGGAATTCCTTAGCATCAGACCCTGCATCAGTAAGATAGCTCCTTTATGAACATCTTGCAGCACAGAAGCAACAAATCAAACACTGACACAGGGGAAATTTGACTGTGCATTAACACACAGTTGCAATGATCTGTAAGGGTGGTGTACGCACAACAGAGATCCAATTCCTACCCCTAGGGCTTCCATCCTTGAAATGAATACAGATCCTCTGAAAGTCCGTGGCAAAAATTTGCAATGAGCTCAGAGATAGAAGATGGAGCCCCTGGTGTTTCAAATGACAAAATGCAACAGGGGAGGGAAAGAGAGACAGCTCCTACTCACTTGAATTTCAATTGTGATCAAACACTCACCCACCATGGATTGTTCTTCAGGACAAGATCTTACAACATGCTTTATGGTTTTATTATATTTAAAAACAAGGAACCATGTACATCCATTACAGTATTTTGTGTGTGTGTGTGTGTGTATAGAGAGAGAGTGTGTGTGTGTGTGTAGAGAGAGAGAGAGAGAGAAAGAGAGAGAGAGCGCACAGCACTTGACGAACCAACCTGGACACAGCATATTATTTGAGAACACAGAAATGCTGGACCACTCTCACAACCACCATGTCAGACTACACAGAGAAGCCATTGAAATCCACAAGCATGTGGACAATTTCAACAGAAAGGAAGAAACAATGAAAATAAATAAAATCTGGCTACCAATATATATTTTTTTTAAAAAAAAAAAGCTCTAAAATTAGGACCATAAATAAAGAACAATACCCTCCCAACAAAGGATTCCTCCAGACAGTAAGAAGTCAGACCTTGAAACTGCTAGGCCATTAAATGCTATTCAAGGTGGCCAGTTGCAACATTCACATCTACCTCAAACAGACAAGAGTTCTTGCTCCCATCCTGGACATTATTTCACAGATATATAAACCCAGTTTTCCAAGTTTCCAACAGACCTCACAACATCTGAGGATGGCTGCCATAGATGTGGGTGAAACGTCTGGAGAGAATGCTTCTGGAACATTGCCATACAACCCAGAAAACTTACAAGAACCCAATATAGTGAAACATCACAGATGGACAAGTTTATTATGGCAGTAGCATGCATGGATTACGGACCACTGAATCAAAGAATGCCATAATGTTTTGTATGTCACGTGTTAATATTCCTGATTACATAACATTGGTTATATAGTGCTCACCAACTAACATAATACGAGCCATGTTGTGTTATTGCATGGAGCTGGATTTCAAAGCAAAGGAATCATCAGTTTTTCTTATTCAGTGAATAGCGAAAAGATCGTCACTTTTCTGGCTCTCCAATGTGGGGCTTTAATAACAATACAGTAATAACAATCTCTCTAGATAACTGTGATTGGAGCTTCCTCTAGCACAACATGTGAGTAAGCCATTACATGACACGCATGCAGACACACATCCTATACATGTTCATCCACCTGCTAAGCCAATAGAACAGCCTATACCAAAGATTACAATCTTACAGAGAAAAACTCTGCTCCATGGGAACTTACCCGTGAGTAAACAACCTTAAACCACAGCAATCTTAACTTCTACCAGATCCATGGTTTCCCTCTTGTACATTTACAATCACAAGCAAACTTTGAGGCTGCCAGAGTTCCTGCCACACATTGCGACAGGTGTTAGCCAATAAATTTAAATTGCTGTCATTTCTTTTCTTTATGAACAAGCATTTGGAAGCGCCACTAAATTTCTCATCAGTTGATCATGAACTATGCAGAAAAACAATGATTCCCAAGAGGAGTTGGTGGATTATAGATGGTGCTTGAAACCTCTAACACAGTTCAAGGCTTCTGATCAAAAATCACCAGCGAAGCTGTGGTCTGGGTGTGGCAACCAAACTAATCTTTCAGTATCTCTCGGCTATGAAATGTGGTGTGTGTGCCGAAAATGTCACCTGACCTTTCCAGGGACACCCTCACTACCAACACCTGCCCAGGTATACACAAACAAGGAAAGCAGAGCAACGCCCTTCCAAGGAGGCCTTGCCTTCTAGCGGAAACTACCCATAAATCTCCTATTTCGTTTTTTTCTCCTCCCTCTCTACTTAAAGGGAACCAGACTGGAGTAGCAGCTCTGGGCCTGCAGGGAAACTCTGAAAGTGGAGACTTGGAATAGATGTACAACACAGTCCTTTGTTTGGGGAAATCCTCAACTTCTTAGGCTATAGATAGGAGGGAGTTAGAGAAGGCAAACTTGGGCCCTCCAGGTGTTTTGGACTGCAACTCCGACCATTCCTAACAGCCTCAGGCGCCTTCCTTTTCCCCCACAGCCACTTAAGCTGTAGTTTGGTGAGGCACCAGCACTCTAAGGCCCCTTCCACACAGCTGTATAATATCAACATTGAACTGGATTATATGGCAGTGTGGACTCAGGTAATCCAGTTTAAAGAAGATATTGTGGATTATTGGCTTGATATTCTCGGTTATAGGGCTGTGTGGAAGGGCCCTCAGGATTCTATAGCATTCAGCTATGGCAGTTAGTTACGGCATACCAAGCTGATTCACCCCTTGCCAAATTGTAACTCCCAGGATTTCATAACATTTGAGCCATGGCAGTTAAATGGGTGTCAAACTGCCTCAATTCTACAGTTATTTATTTATTGTATCAGAAGTGAATTGAGTGTCCTCCATTGTGCATGTGGCAGGGTTCAGGTTGCATTGTAATAGGTGGTCTGTAGTTTGCTTTTCTCCACACTCGCATGTCATGGACTCCACTTTGTAGACCCATTTCTGATGATTGGCACTGCACCTCATGGTGCCACAGTGCAGTCCGTTCAGAGACTTCCAAGTAACCCAGTCTTCTCTGTGCCAGGGGGGGGGGGTAGAGAGATTGAGGTTCTGGGTTTTAGCCTGCCACTTTTGGACTCTTGCTTGCTGAGGTGTCCCTGCGAGTATCTCTGTAGATTTTAGGAAGCTATTTCTTGATTTAAGGCACTGGCTTGGAGGCTGTTAGGTATTGTGGGAGTTGAAGTCCAAAACACCCGGAGGGCCCAAGTTTACCCATGTCTGAGTTAGAGACTGCTTTTACTACCAAGGTGGAATCCTGAGAATTATAGTTTGGGGAGGCTTACTAGCACTCTTTGGCAGAGAAGGCTTTTGAAAATTCCAGTGCTCATCATTCTGTAGCATTGAGCCATCGAAATAAAAGCAGTGTCGAACTGCATTCATTCCACATTGTAGAATAGATTAGACCCTTCCCCATGATACATAGCAGAAGTCCTTTTTTTCTTGGTGCTAGACCTATGATATGTTTTAATCGTCTGAAATATTATTTATAATTGATATGTATAGGTTTTTATAGTTTTATAATATTATGTTATTATGTTATAATATTATAATATTAGGATGCGGAACAATGGCTTCAAACTACATCAAAGGAGATTCCACCTGAACATTAGGAAGAACTTCCTTATTGTGAGAACTGTTCAGCAGTGGAACTCTGTGGCCAGGAATGTGCTGGAGGCTCTTTCTATTGGAGGCTTTAAAGCAGAGGCTGGGTGGTCATCTGTCGAAGGTGCTTTGAATGCAATTTTCCTGCTTCTTGACAGGGGGTTGGACTGGATGGCTCATGAGGTCTCTTCCAACTATGATTCTGTGTTTTACTGTTATTGTTATTGTTTGAGTCTCGCATTGAATTATTGCCATAATGTGTGAGTCCTCTTTTGGGGGTGAGAAGGGCGGGGTGTAAAGCACAGTCAATAAATAATAAGCAAACAAAAGCTTAGGCACAACTGTTTTCCTTTCAGCGATCCAAACTAGAAGCACCCAGGGTGACAGATTTGCCCTTTGATCGCATTTTAGAGAATAGAGAGGAAGGAGGAGGCAGGGAAGCAAAAAAAGCAGAGCTGATTCCCACTCTCTCTCCACAGAAAAGGCAACCAGTCCACGCGTGGAAATGCTTTCTCCTAGGATTCCTGTCAAACCTTGACTTCTTGATCATCTACATCCCCCTCCCCGCCAAGAAGTGAAGATTTGGTAGAAACCCTAGAAGAGAAAGACATTTCCACGCGTGGTTTGAAGGAGATGGATTGAACATGGTGTGTGTGTGTGGGGGGGGGGGGGGGGGGGGGGGGGGTCTGGCTCCAGAAGGGGCGAGAAGAGCAACAGGGCGCGACAGCCAGCCCACCTGAAGCGCCTGCTTCGGATCCTCTTTTCTCTTCCCCCCTTCCGTCCCCACAAAAGAAACGCACACATTCCCCAGAGCACAATGGGAGGGGGCAAGCGAGGGACACACCCCTCTCTCCCAATATGGGGGGAAGGCACCGCAAAAGGCACAAAGGGGGCTGGCTATCCAGAAGAATGCGAGGCTGGGATTCCTCTTCTCCTCTCTGCCGAAAAAAGAGCATTCAATGCAAAGCAATGTCATTGTCACCTGGACCCGATGAAGAAGAATAAGGGAGGGGGGAGCAAAAGGGTTTTATAACACGCAGAGGGACGCCACTCACGCGTGATCCCACCCCACACCCCACGGCCACCAAGAGACCCCAACCGAGAGGGATTTGGGGGTGCCTATGAGCAATGCCAGGTTGCATAGACGGGTTTGGGGCTTCCAGAGGGAGGCCACTGCCCACTGCTTCCCCTCTGTCTACTCTCCCGAGTGGATCTCTCCCCGTACGGAATGCCCACGATGTCAGATGCGGGGACGATCGCGGTTCCAAAAGGGGAGGAAAGATGGTGGTGAAAGGAACGCCATGGCTCACCTTTATTGATCTCCCTTTTTGGCCTTTTTTCCGACCGAGTAATCCGGAGTCAAGGGGTCGAGCGGTCCGGGGAGACGGTCATCGGGCGCGGAGGGTTGCCCACGAGTCTATTGTAAATTAGTCGGATCCGAAAAACAAAAACCCAATGGCGGGGGGGAAAAGAGGCGAGGAAGGCAGCCGTTTCTCCCCCCGCCGCTTGCTCTCCTCCTCCGGCAGCAAGGCGGAGAGGAATGAATCGGAGAAAGCAGCGGGAGGGAGGCAGGCAGGGAGGGAAGGAGGGAAGGAGGGAGGGGGAACGGAGAGTGGTCGGGAGCGCGCGTGGGTGGGTGGGTGGGGGCGTGGGGCGGGTGGGGAGAGAGAATACTAATACTAGGAGGCGGGAGCGCGCGGGGAAGCGGGAGGGCGGCGAGCTGGGCGCGTCATGTGCCGCTGAACCAGCCTCCCGGGGAAAGAGGGGGCGAGGCAGGAGGAGGAGGAGAAGGGAAGAAGGGAGGAGGAGGAAGAGGAGGAGGAGGAGGAGGAGGAGGGCTGGGAGGCGTCTCCTCCCCACCAGCCGGAGGGAGGCACCCAACCTGAAGCGCACCTGTCAAGGGAGGGAAGGAGGGGAGGGGAGGGGATTGGGCAGTGGCCAGCTAGGCAACCCAGTCCACGCGGGAATGGGAAGCGCCTCTCAAGGTCGGGAGTGGCAGCATCTTGCCTCCCTGCATGTCCCAATGGCTTTGGGTGGCCCTTGGGGTCTCTCCCACCTCTAGCATGCCATGGGATTGGGTGGTTGTAGGTTTTTCGGGTTGTATGGCCATGTCCTTGGTGGCATGGGCATACCAAGCTGCCTTCTCTCTCTCCTGAGGAATCTGTATAAGGACCAAGTAGCAACAGTAAGAACTGACCACGGAACAACAGACTGGTTCAAGATTGGGAGAGGCGTAGGGCAGGGTTGTATACTCTCACCCTGGCCCGTAGCCAGGATTTTGATTCGGGGGGGGGGGGGGGCTGAGTCTGAGTGAAAGAGGGTCTAACCTAGCAAACCTTTTGTATCATTACCCCAATACCCCCATGCATATGGGATATATTGAGCATGGTGATCAGATCATGATATGAATAAACATAACAGTTTAAATAATGCACCAGTAAGGCCTTTTCGTGAACCACCATGAGAATTTCAGGGTGGCCCTCAAGCCCCCTCCCGGCAGGTTTGTAGACTCTCACCCAACCTATTCAACTTGTATGCAGAACACATCATGCGGTGTGCAGGGCTTGGAGAATGCAAGGCTGGGGTGAAAATTGCTGGAAGAAACATTAACAACCTTAGATATGCAGATGACACCACTTTGATGGCCAAAAGCGAGGAGGAGCTGAGGAGCCTTCTAATCAAGGTGAAAGAAGAAAGCGCAAAAGCTGGGTTGCAGTTAAACATCAAAGAAACCAAGATTGTGGCAACAAGAATGATTGAGAACTGGCAAATAGAGGGAGAAAACGTGGAGGCCGTGACAGACTTTGTATTTCTAGGTGCAAAGATTACTGCAGATGCAGACTGTGGCCAGGAAATCAGGAGACACTTACTTCTTGGGAGGAGAGCAATGACCAATCTGAAGAAGTGAAGAGTAGAGATATCACACAGGCAGTGAAGATCTGCATAGATAAAGCAATGGTATTCCCTGTAGTAACCTATGGAGGTGAGAGCTGGACCATAAGGAAGACTGAGCGAAGGAAGATAGATGTTTTTGAACTGTGGTGCTGGAGGAAAGTTCTGAGAGTTTCTTGGACCGCAAGGAGATACAACCAGTCCATACTTCAGGAAATAAAGCCCGACTGCTCATTGGAGGGAAGGATATTAGAGGCAAAGATGAAGTATTTTGGCCACATAATGAGAAGACAGGAAAGCTTAGAGAAGACAATGATGCTGGGGAAATGGAAGGAAAAAGGAAGAGGGGCCGACCAAGGGCAAGATGGATGGATGGTATCCTTGAAGTGACTGGCTTGACTCTGAAGGAGCTGGGGTGGTGACGGCCGACAGGGAGCTTTGGCATGTGATGGTCCATGAGGTCATGAAGAGTTGGAAGTGACTGAACAAATGAACAACATGGCCATGTTCTAGAAGCATTATCTCCTGATGTTTCACTTGCATCTATGGCAGGCATCCTCACAGGTTGGGGTCTGGAGAAGAAGCCCTATGAGGAGTGGCTTAAAGAGCTGGACATGTTCCGGATAAAGAATTAGAAAGAAAATTTGGAAAAATTTAGAGTGATAGTATGATAGCTGTGTCTCAGTGAAGCGAGCATTACGCTGATAGCACAACGGTGGTTGTGAATGAGGGAAGGGAACACATGCCCGACCATGTGGTCAAGAGCGGGGTTGAGTCAGAGCGGATGGTCTGAGAGACGCAGGGGGGCAAGTCGGGAAGATAGTTCGTAGTTGTATTAGAAGGAAGGATAGAATGGGGGGGGGGAAATAGGAGGAGTGGTGTAAAATGAATGTAATCCACTTTATTGAGCAGTTTCGGACAACGGAGCAGCCCCTGAGTTTTTGGCAAGGATGTTGAATTTGTGCCCAACGCCCTTGAATTTGTGGACAGCCTGGATGTGTGCCGGGAACAACATTGAACCATTTAATAATATTTTGGGTGAGACTGCTGATTTCTGTCACGTTTAAGGTCTTCCCAAACCATTTCCCAAGCTGTTGTTTATCTTTTCTCATTAAATAACTGCTACATTCCTTCACTGTTATCTGTGTCCCCCCTGCGTTAAATTACTTTGGCGGTATCATCCCGCGCCTGCGTTCCACAATCTGCATACTTGAAGCAGTGTTCCAGAAAAAGGCATAACGCTCACGGCACTGGGACCCAGCTATCAAACTATCACCAAATTTTGTTTTACACGACAGTTATTTATTTTGTATCAAAAGCATTGCATAGATTAGTATAAAACTGATAAAAGTAGAAGGAGCATAGGCAGCTAAATATCTTTTGACCAAAAACGGGCAACGGCATTGTCTGTGGCCTCTAACCATTTTTCCTCTGTACATGAGGCAGGGCATAGTGGACAAGCATACGGATGCAGAGTTGTCTGTTCTGCTCCACAGTCACACAAGGTGTGGGATTATTTTAGGTAGTGCCATTTTGCCAGGTTGTCTTTTGATCTGCCCACTCCACTTCTGAGTCTGTTCAGGGACTTCCAAGTTGCCCATTCTTGGTTTGCCCCTGGAGGAAGACCCTCATGGGGGGCCATCCAGTTGGGATTTCCTGGTTTAGCTGCCCAGAGGGATACCCTTGCTGTTGCTGGGGGGACGCCAAAGGGAGTGGTAGTTCTCATGAAGCTTTTCCTTGATTTGAGTCTACTGGGAGGAGGCTGGTAGCCATGTAGTGGATGGCTTTCACAGTGTTCAACCTTATTTCTCTCACATTTAGCAGCAACTTCCCATCACATCGGGGGGGGGGGGCAATGCCAACTAGCTTGTAGAGTTTATCAACAGGTGTAGGTTTAAGACATCCTGTGATTATTCTGCATGTTTCATTCAATGCTATATTCACCTGCTTTGCATGGGGAGACCTATGCCAAACAGGGCAGGCATACTCGGCAGTTGAGTAAGACAAGGCTAGGGCTGATGTTCTTATTAATTTTGGGTCTGCACCCCATGTGCTGCCAGTAAGTTTCTGCAGGATGTTATTGCCTGCTGGATCTAAGGTGACACTCAGATGAGAACCTCGGTATAGAAAACTGTGAAATAAATAAATAAATATTTAGGATGGAAACAATTTTCAAGCTCTTGACCTTCCCAGGGGACTTTCAATTTCCTGTTGGCTTCACGGTTGCGTAGGTGGAAAGCATACATTTGTGTCTTGGCAGAGTTAGGCTTCAAGTGGTTATCAGAGGAGACATAATAGCATTGTATAAATATGTGAGGGGAAGTCACAGGGAGGAGGGAGCAAGCTTGTTTTCTGCTGCCCTGGAGACTAGGACACAATGGAACAATGGCTTCAAACTACAGGAAAGGGAGATTCCACCTGAACATTAGGAAGAACTTCCTAACTGTGAGAGCTGTTCAGCAGTGGAACTCTCTGCCCCAGAGTGTGGTGGAGGCTCCTTCTTTGGAGGCTTTTAAACAGAGGCTGGGTGGCCATTTGTCGGGGGTGCTTTGACTGTGGATTTCCTGCTTCTTGGCAGAATGGGGTTGGACTGGATGGCCCACGAAGTCTCTTCCAACTTTATGAATCTAGGACCTCACAACCTCTGAGTATGCCTGCCATATATGCAGGCAAAACGTCACGAGAGAATGCTTCTAGAACATCACCATACAGCCCGAAAAACCTACAACAGCCCAGTGATTCTGACCATGAAAGCCTTCAACAATACATTCAATGGGATTCTCCTAGTGTGCCATCAACTCTCAAGCAGGGAACTTTGAAATGGTTGAACAGAATCTCTCTGAAGCTTTAGGTGTTCGTACTGCCTATTACAGGGAAAACCAGCTGATTCCTAATCCATTGAAAATGCAGACCTGCACTTTTCATCTACGAACAGACAAGCATCTCCAGCTTTGGGGATTACCTGGGAACGAATCCCACTGGAGCATTGCAGCACACCCAAATAGATGGGAGTTACCCTGGTCCGTGCTCTGACCTACAAGAAGCACTGCTTGAATATCAAGCAAAAAATGGGTGCTAGAAATAATATCGGAGCGCAATGGGTTAAAGTGCTGAGCAGCTGAACTTGCTAACCAAAAGGTCGCAGGTTCAAATCCAGGGAGTGGCATGAGCTCCCACTGAGAGCCCCAGCTTCTGCCAACCTAGCAGTTTGAAAACATACAAATGTGAGTAGATCAATAGATACCGCTCTGGCAGGACGGTAATGGCACTTCATGCAGTCATGTCAGCCCCATGATGTTGGAGGCATCTATGCACAATGCTGGCTCTTCAGCTTAGAAATGGAAATGAGCACCACCCTCCAGAGTCGGACTCAACTAGACTTAATGGAAAACCTTTAGCTTTACTGCCAGATAATCTGGGATAAGCAGATAATCTGGGATCAGATCCTGGGATATAGGGGTGGTGTGGAAAGGTCTTAAATCCACCACAGAAGTATTAAGAAGTACAGTCAGCCTTCCATATATCCACAGTGTCTGCAGGCACAGACTCAACCATCCATGACTTGGAAAAAAATTCCAATCCAAAAAAGCAAACCTTGATTTTCCCATTTAGTATAAGGAACACCATTTTATTACATCAGTGTGTATAATGGGACTTGAGCACCCATGGATTTTTATATCCATGGCTTTGCTGGAAACAAAC